ATATATATATAAAATAGGTGCTTATTGTCGCATTTTTTCATTTGGAATTTCAGGTGATTTACTTCAGGTGTAACATTGTTGCTGTTAGTTTAAATTGATGAAAGAAATTACATTTTCAATATCAAATGTTCTGGAAGATTATCTTAATTTGTAATATAATTGATTCAACAAATGAATATATGATTTGTTTTTAGCATTATTAAATGAAGAATTCACATACACATATATGCTCAAGCTATTCCTAATAGCTTGGTCTTCTAGGTTTAATAGTATATGATTAGGTGATTATATTTTTAAAGTTACAATTGTTATTATATATATTAACTACCTGGAATGACAGTTACATAGCATAAATTATATACCAGAAATTTGGTAAGTGCATGAAGTTTAATTGTGGATAAAATTGCTATTAAAAGGAAAAATAAGTAAATAAAGAGAACAAGTTAATAAAAGTTTTTTCTGTAAACTATATTAATTAGTTGGAGGTCTATTATATTATATAATTTAAAGAATATTCTAATTTAAATTAGAATATTCTTTCTTTCTTGTTTATATTATATAAACAAGAAAGAAAGAATATTCTAATTTAATTAACACAATGTTATTTTCAAAATATACAGAAAATATTGTATGAAATATGGGAACCATCTGGTACATATGAAAAGTAATAAAATAGATTGGTACACAATTGTACAATTTGCTATTTGATTCTTAAAATATTAACATAAGGTATAGAACAATTTCATTTCCTCCTAACAGTTAATCAGACATGCTACAAAATTTCAAGTATTGAATGTAGAGTTATTTGCAAGGTACTTGTCATAACAAATGATGTAGCATATTCAAATTAGTGGCCATAGGAAGCTATAGTATTCTTATCACCACCTCCAGCCACTGTTTAGTTCAAATTCTTCTGAAAACATATAGATAAAAAATCTGTATTTATCCCAAATCCATTTTTCAGTATAACTCACTGATTTTTAAAGGCTTGTCCCAAGTAAACATGAATACAACTGAAGATAAAATTGCTCACGAAGGGATAACTAAAGACTGAAGCAAAGATGACACTACAATCTGTTATGCAGTATGGATGATGTGTGGAACTAATAACCAGGCTACTTTCCCCATTCATTGCATAGAAGAACACAGTTCTCTTTAACTGCTTTAATTTCTAGTTTCATACTAGGATCTAAATTCCTGTTTTCACCTTTAGCAATATCCTTCTGCTAATTAAGATGTATTTCATAGTATAGTAGGCTTAATTTGTGGTGGCAAATCTTTCTATGGTTAACAAATCCCTTTCTGTGAAACATGTACGTAGCTGTCCCGAGCTGAGCAGAAGATGAATAAGTTGGATCAGTGCTATTGTGAAAGAACCTGCACCATGAAGGGCATCAGCTACAGAGAATTTGAATCTTGGACAGATGGCTGTAAGAACTGCACCTGCATGGTATGACTCTTCATTAAAAAAGCATTCAAGTACCTAATTGTGCAGAATGTTTATGCATTTTGATGAAAAAACATTCTCGCACCAAATCACTTAAAAGCAAAAGTGGCTTTTAATCATATAGGACATAAAACATTTGCAGAGTACGTATTAAATCACTTTAGTAGGCCAAGCTATGGTATAAAATCATCTGCTTGCTGTCTTGTTTTCTAGAACAAGATAAATTTGTATAAGAAGGAATGTATTTACATTGTAATTTCAGTTCTATTTTCTCTTTTCAAAGGGTCCCTCATATTTTTAGGTGAATATTTATGATGAAGTAGAGCTATTATATTCAATGTTAGAAGAACATTCTAATGCTGGGAGATACTGGGATGAACCAACATATTGCCCGTCCAGCCTGTTCTCTCTCTGGCTGATGTTTGAGTGTTTGTTTATAGCATTTATATGGCTTCCCAACTCAGAGTGTGACTGTGGGTAGCACAGAAAGAACCAATAACAAAAATAAGACAAAATAACAATACTAGGTAAAAACAGCTGCAACTATTAATAAGCAAACAGGGATTCAAATTTATTAAATGTCACCGGAAAGGAACTCTAATCATTCTAAATTAAGCACCTAAGGAAAGAGCCAGGTCTTCACTGTTACAATGAATAACAGAATCTTGGGTCAGAATATATCAGAATATGGCTGAAGGTTGGAGAAGGTGGAGTGCTGAGTGAAAGGTACTTTAATACTTTAATAAAGCAAAGAGAAAACTGTAACAAACTCAATTCATTTTAGTGCAACTTGTATAAGAAAATAGGTGGTGGCTTTAGGATCAGTTGGCAATACATACTATATTTTATGCTGTAGGAAAAGTAGCTGTATATATGTGTCTTTGATGTAAAACAAATATGTTGACCACAATTTAATGCTTCATGAGATTCTCTTCCATGATTGGGATTTGTCTACTTTGTGTTAATAAAGCAGTCTCAGTATTGTAAAGAATGCCAATTGTTCATGTAGAACATGCCAAATTTAGTGGATGACAATC